ACACACGCGCGCCCCTCGCCGGGCAAAAAACAACCCCCTCCCGGAGAGAGAACATTTGCAACTTTTTGTGCGGTCCCTCGCGCTGCTTACTCAGGCATAAGAGAAGCAAGTTAGGCAGGACTTAACAGTTAAATAAAAAAGCAGTTGAATTGAAAAATTTTTGTAAATTTAAAAAATCAAATGCCACATAAAGTGTTCGTGTGCCGCGTGTCGAATGCTGTCAATATTTCCGGTGTGTCTAATGACAAACGCATGTTTACACGAGTGCGAACACATCCGGACTGAACGGGGTGCCGCCCGGTACATTACACGGGCATCAGTTTAAAGCCAGGATCTGCCCGACGGCAATTAAATGGATTTACTCAAGCGTTTTCGATCTGCCAATTTATAAATGATGGCCGCGACTTAAAAAGCTGCCCAGCAAGAAAAGGACACACTCGGATGATAAATGATCCTGTGGGCCAGCGACTGACTGCCAGAGATCTATAATAATCGAACAATGAGTTCAACTATATGTTTAAATAGTTTCTCACTCGCTCTGCAAGTTTATTCAACTGCATTTGAATGTCAATTAGCTTAAATTGCTAGTTGTGACTTACAAAGCAGCCAAAAACTATTAACAGCCCAGCCAGACAGACGCTCAGCTCCATATGTAGACCAATTAAGGTCTAGGCGAGAGCCACACACGCACAGACACAGGGGCTAACACTCTCTAAAAGTATCCGTAGCAAGAGCTGAGTGCATTAACCTCGGCTCAACAAATATTTGATTTGCATGCATGTATCTTACAGATACATTTCGGCTTCCGTCTGAAATAGCTGCCATTGCTGTCTGCCATTGCACTCCGTCGCACTCAATTTAATTTAATAAAATTTCGTCGCTGAGCAGGGGAATTTCCGAGTCTATGACTATTTTCGGGGTGCCCTCTGTTAATTATTAATAATATTTTTCTGTTCAGTTAGGCTCAGAATTGTGCACATAAAACGCATCCATAAACAAAATGGCTGGAAAGCTGTTTATTCAGATCGTTCACATAGCTTCAATTAATCTCAATTAAGTGGCAAAAATACGAGTAGACCCTAGCACACATATTGATGAAAAGTTTTGTTTTAGGGTTCAGCCTGTTCGCATAGCCCTTTTCTTTCTTGCTCAGCTCTACCAATTGAGGGTTAGGCACTGGGCACATTAATTCTTATTGTATAACTTGGCAATTGGAGTTGTAAATTTGAAACTGGCCAGTTTATTGGCATGTCGGGCCATTAAGTTGTTTGTTAAGCCGACGAAATTGAAATTTTTATGGGATATTAAAAAAATAACCGAAAGGAAACTGAAAAAAAAACAATATGAAATAATAAAGTAAGGCTATCTGCAGAAATAAAAAAGAAATAATAAGAATATCAATAAGAAACTTTCTTAAAAAATAGATGGTTAATTTCTCTGTAAAAATGTGGCAAAGCAATTTGATTCAGTCTACTCGGCGAAATAAAATAGATGGATTGAGAATTTATCAAAGATAAACAACAATATGAATTTCCATTAAACAAGTTTGACAGAGTTTTCAACTGTATCATAAAAAATATATTTAATAATACTACTACATTTAGGATTAAATAAACAACTCGGGGAGCATCTCAAAGCAAATCTTGGTTAGCTTACTAATCCCTATTATCCTTATAGGTTTTCAAGGACACAGACGAGCTGCCAAGTGGTGTGCAAATCCTTGCGGAAAGCTTTTGATTGGAGTACTTGAGCACGGAACCAATAAGAGTAAGTAAAAATTAGGTCCTATTTACACAACAATGTGTGCGCAATGGTGTGAAATTCTTGGCACTGTCTGGCACAAGGGAAGCTCAGCTCCGCTCGAGATTCGGCGGCTCTTGGCTCTTATTCTTGTCCTGCACAAATAAGACGTCACGCTCATTACAATATCACAATATCACAATGGCAGGGCCTCTTACTCAACCCCTCCAAGCAATGCGGTCTGAGTGCTCGTGCTTGCTTTTGTTATTTGTTTCACATTTTGTGCGTTTGCTCACTTGAGCGAAGGTTCGCCGATCTTCAAAAGAAGAAACTCGCTGGCGCTGCTGCATATGCCTGTCCCTGTCCCTGTTCCTGTCCCTTTCGCTGGGTAAGTTTTTCGTATTGATTACAAGAAATATTCATGTACAGATTAGACGCAATATGCTGTTCGGAGCTCCGCACTTTTGTGTTTAAATTATCGCATACATATGCAAAGGCATCGAGTGCCCAAGGATATTGGTCTATTGTTTCGCTATCATTTATGCAAAATGCTTAACTACCCCTGTCCCTGGCCCCAGCTTCAGTCCTCAACACGATACCATTGCGATAATTTCCATCTTTAAATATTCATTACAAGAGGTCGCGACGTCTCGCCTGGGCTGCATATCGCTTTGATTGATTACTCAAGTGGTTTATCGTTTGGCAATTGTTGCTTGGGGTTTTCCTTTCCTTTCCTTTCCTTTCCATTGCAGCATTGTTTTCCGAGTTGCGTTCGAGGCGTTCGCCGGGAGTGGCCAGGCATCTTGCTTTGTTCGGGGCCAGCATGGTGGTCACTTGAGAGTTGCGACTGTTTCCTTTCAACTCGTGAATGTCATTTAAATGGCAGAATACAAGACTTATTAAAATAGCTCAAATTTGCATGGCTTCACATTCGCATGCATTCTGTAGTGGCCCAAGGAGCAGCTGCAGCACAAATTACCAAATATGACATAAATGAAATCGATCTTTATGGCCACCAAGGGCGTGGCATGTGCTCAAAGATCACGGCGATTATGAAAGGTCATAAGTGCAAATCGGAGCAACAAAGGTGCGACTGGAGTCGACTGGAGGCAGAGCTATTCAGGCTATGCAAAATTAGTTTGTCCTAGGATTCCAGCTGACTCTAAGGTCAGCTTTGTCAGTTCCACCCTGAAAAGGACATTCCCCAAGCTGCGCCCACCCTGCACCCCTTTTAGAATTGCACTTTCAATTCTCGTAACATCTGCAAACGATGCGTGAGAAATTTTTGCATGTCTGCCAAAGCGTTTGTGCTGCTGATTCGACGTCACCAAGCCACAGGAAGCTTCAGCATTTCGCGGCTTGGCCGCAAACAATACACATAACCACTCAAGAGGCACAGTTTGAGCTTGCAGCAACGTCGACGACGACGATGATGATGACGATGATGACGATGTCTGTCAAGAGGCCACTCATATATTTGCAACAACTGGAGTAGCAAGGCCCGGCGGTGCACGGTGGTTGCCGCTTGGGCTGCTCCTGCGGCGATGCGGTGCGCACATGGGCACTCAAGTGACTGGAATAGTGCGCTAAGCTCCTCTCGCCCAGCAGCAGATTGTCGCAATTTTTGATATATTTTCAGAGTTTGGGTAAAATGAATTATTTCAATTTTCTTGATTAAAATGTTGCTACTCGCTGATGTGTGAACAAATGTCGCGCAACGTTTTTCATTTTAATATGCACCACATTATCCCGGATGTTCAGGCCGTGGCTGATATAATCAAAACTACAGATAGATTGCAGAAGAAACCAAGAGAAAGATGCTTGCAATAGGGTGCCAGAATTAAAATATCTTTTATACAATGTACATTAACATTATTGAATAAAAAGATATACTAAATTGTTGCCATTCTATCTTTATCAAAACTTTATAAGGCAATTGACGTACTTAAAAATGTAGTTTTAAATCTGAATTTTGTTATTTTTGTTAATTTCTATAAGCAGGAAACCAATTTGATTCATCAGCTTTACTTATTTCAATATTTCTAATTTATATTTAAGAGTTCCTATTGTCGTTGTACACGAACACAACTTGTCGTATTGATCTTCTTCAAGTAGGGTCGTTTTATTCTTCATAAATTTATTTGTAAGTTTTTCCAACTTGGCCATCGCTTTGTTTCCTCATTCCGATCGTGTAGTTGGCGACTGCCGCAATTGCAGAAGCTATAATTAATTTAATTTATTTAACAAAGGTCATTGTCAGCTTTTCACACAGCAGCACCGCCATAATTTCTGCTTTTGCCCGGGCAAATCAAAGTGCAGCCTGAGCTGAAAAGTGTCAGGGCCCCGAGTAATTACCACTCGGCTTATATCAATCAATGAGAAGCTATAGACACGACTACGACGACTGCGTCGTGGGTAGTTTTAATTGAATATTACAAGAGGGATGTACATTAATAAGGAAATCATTTAAATCTCAGCGAGCTGCCGCTGCCAAATGCATGAGAATAACCTACGAAATTCTAAAAAAAATCTGCGGGCGTAGGATCAGCAGCATCGGTGGTGCCAGGGAAAGGGCGCTCTGTCTCTAACGGCTGCGAAACTCAATCCAGTCCAATACTTCAATGAAGCAATAAGTTTCAATTGAAATGGATTTGCTTGCGAATGAATTTAGCTACCAAGGTCATTATGAAGTCTAGAGAGTGCCAAGCCTGGCAGATTTAGAAACAACGATGGGTGTGGCTGCTCTAAAAATTATATAATATTAGAAAATAACCAAAAACTGTTCAAGTAAATCAGAGACACTTTTAAAAGCAATCTGGTCGAACAACTGTCAGGCTTAACTAGACCGGCGCTTAAACCGCTTGCGAATTACAAGCACACAAAATGTGGACATTGCGATGTATGTTCACTTTTTGTGTTTTTAAGGGAAAAATACAAAATCTGCCTTCATCTATTTAAATAAAAAGCTAAGATTTTCATTCTTTTAATCTAGTAACGGATATATATGTTTCCCACATGTATCCTGTTATTTGTATAAGAAAGATCAGGTCTTTTTAATTGCAATTTGTGTTTGTATACACTTGACAATTCGAAGTTGGGAGCCAAACAGCGTTTTCTGTTTCCTCTTCTTTCTAGTAGATCGCAGTAGACACACAAACTATGAAATTTTATTAAACATTAGCTATACACACGGCCTACTGCATAGGTTTTAACTTTTGTTTAGTTATTTTTATACATGACAGAAATTATTTATGGAGTGTCCACCAACACGACTTTTAATCATACAAATGCTAATCAAATGTCAATAATAAACTTATCAACTGCTACTTGATGATAACGAACGGACCGTGTGAACTCTACAAATTCAGTTTCAGTCAGTGGCTCGTTTTTGTGCTGAAACATCTTCCATGCGGGTGCGGCGCATAACCCTAAGGAAAAAACGGGTGGACGCATTGCAAAATAACAAAAGTCGATCAAAAATATTCACATAGAATTTAGAAATTGTGCAAGGGAAAGGAATATATGGCTTGCTTATTAAATCGGCTGGTGGTGCTGTTGGTGGTGGTGCTGCTGCCAGGCTTCTGCCTTGCCGAAGAGCCACGTGATGGCGATCCTCTGGTGAGCACCTCATTAGGTCTCATTCAAGGCACTTTTATGAGCAGCTTTAGTAACAAGACGATCTATGCGTTTCGAGGAGTGCCCTACGCTCAGCCACCTGTGGGTGACCTACGTTTTCTGCCACCCAGACCCGCCCTGGCCTGGGGACCTGCGATATTCAACGCCACATCCGACTCACTGATCTGTCCGCAGACGGGCATTACATTATTTATGAGCGAGGATTGCCTCAAGCTGAATGTCTTTACCAAAAATCTAACTGCCAGTCTGCCAGTGATTGTTTATATACACGGTGGTGCCAATGTGATGGGCAGTGGTCACAGCCAGTACGAGGCTGGTCCACAGTATCTGCTGGAGCACGATGTGGTTATGGTAGCCTTCAATTATCGGCTGGGCGCCCTGGGCTTTCTGTCCGGCAGTAACAATGCCTATCTGGATCAGGTAATGGCGTTGGAGTGGGTACAGTCTCATATATCCAGGTTTGGCGGCAATCCCAAAAGGGTAACCCTTTTGGGCTTAAGTGCAGGCGCCATGGCTGTGAGTCTGCATTTGGCCTCGCCCTTGTCCACCGGACTATTCCATGGAGCCATACTCATGAGCGGCTCCGCAACGAATCACTTTAGCATACACAATAAGTTCTGGACGCGTCTCTTGGCTCGACAGCTGGCCTGCCCCATGTACGATTCTTTTGACCTGACCGAGTGCCTGCGCAATGTCACCTGGCAGCGCATTGTGGAAGTCTGCAGTGATTGGGAACAGTACAAATTCGTGAACATGAAGTGGAACTACGAAATCGATGGCTACTTTATGCCCCAGCACCCCAGCGCTTTGATAGGCAGAGGCAGGTTCAACCGGGTGCCCCTGCTGGTCAGCTTCACCAGCAACGAGATGGACTATACCACGCTGGGTGAGCATGGGGCTCAAGACTGATGAAGTCCAAGCTGTCTCAACTAACTTTGCTCAATTTCCAGGGAAACTTGAGAATGATCTTCTGTTGCACGATATCATTACGAACTTCAATGAATATGCGCCGGAACTGTTTCTATACGAATACGATGCAAAAAAGTCCAGGCGCATCAAGAACTTCTATCTGGGCTTTGATACCAACGAGCTGAACGCCTCAAATATCGAGCATCTCGGGCAAATCTTCTCCGATGGCATCATAGGACATGGCGTTTACCGTCTGGTGGAGCTGGCACGCGAGTACACCGAAGTCTACTACACACGCATGGACTACATAGGCAAAAGGAGTCTTTCGGCGCCCCTGACCGCAGAGGGACTGCCCAAAGGTGTGGGTCATGCGGACGACTGGCAGTACGTGATGCCTGGCCTGTGGTATGGCTCGCTCATGAGCCAGGACCACAAGGATATCTTCATGATGGAGCGCCTAACCGGTTGGATTACCCACTTTGCCACGACGGGGTAAGGCAAATGATTGTGTAGTTGGTGATCCCTGCTGATGTAACCATGTATGATTTTTACAGGCAGCCTATGTCCATCTCTAGCCAATTCTGGCCCCCCTGCAGTGATACTCAGATGCTGCTGCTCTACAACAACAATGATACCAGGTTGGGTCCACCCGCCTTCGTTGACCGCTATGACGTCTGGGATCAGCTTTTTCCCGACACACATGCCAATGGTGCTGCCCAATGCCAACTCCAGCTCGTTTCTGTCGTCGTCGTCGCCGTCGGTGTGGTCCTCTCCGGACTGCTCTGTAAATTAATGTAGCCATTAGGTGTGGAAAAAGCTTATCAATAGGCCGTTTAGATTACGCTAATGACGTCGCTTACTCGCTTCAGCTATTTACTTTGATTAATTAATCAGCAAAGGCGTGAGATTTTCAGTGCTTGTGAAGAACTGTGTGTGTGTGTGTTTGTGTGTGTGTGTGTGTGCGTGCGAGTCTGATTGTGGAGCTTGTTTTGGCCAGCGCCTTTGGGCAATTAGTCTCCAAAGCAGCTTAAATATACATTAATTTGTCTTTAAACGGTTCTTGCTGCAGGGAGAGACGCCTTTTGACCTTTTTGGAGCTGTAATTGTGCGATAATTTTTGGAATTGACAGGTTCGCACATGCAATCGTTGCCACACCCTTGACTCCCGCCTCCAACCAACAGGCTCCCCCGCCCCACCACCCTCTTTCCGCTGTCGCGGATGGCACTGCTATTGACATTTCAGATTGGCAGCATTTAAGGGGCTTGCTCTTGCGTGAAAATCTCAGACATGTGAGTGGTTGCAAAAGGATTATCCAGCCATCCAGTCGTTTATGGAGAGGGTGCAAATATTTTGGCAAGGGGTTGTTGTGATGGGCGTTCTCGTATTATCTTGATTGGGAGTTCATATAAATAATCGTCCACAAATTGTCAGCAAACCATCAGAGAGTTAATTTCAAAACATAAGGAAACTCTATGGAATTTATGGAAAAACAGCGCATTTTGAATTGGAAACTTTGTACTTAACGATATGTTTAATTCAATATAACTTTTTATACCGATAAATTGTCTTCTAGCTACTTATATGTGCTGTCAATATATTAATAAATTCTTATTTTAGCCACATTATTTAAATGGGTAATAATTGGTAAACACAGAAGGTGGCCTCTATGACCCTATTCCAGGGACTGTTGAAGCTGGGGCTTAATGTATCCTGCGTAGGAAAAGGTACTTTGTTAAGTTTAAAAATTCGAGAGGTTAAGACGCAAAATTCGTTATAAAGGCAGTCACATAGAATGCACGCAATAAAAATATTTTATCTCTTTATTCATTTCCCAGAATAGAATGAATCGCATTTGAAGAGAAACGATTTTTGTACAATCTATTTTGGAAAATTTAATACTTTTAGCATACAATTAACAACTTTTGGGAACAAGTTCATCAAGGTTGGTTATTGTTAAATTAAAGATCTTTTTAATCTTTGGACGGCTATCAAACTACAATAAAAAATTAAGTTTTTTTTACAATAAAAGGAGACAAAGGGTAAGATAAACTTCAACCGTCGAGCTATAGAGTGTCCATGTTGATAGCTTTAAGATTTTGCCCATTTGCTGCCTTTGTCTTACTTATGGGGGACCAAGGACAACCGAAGCAAACCATCACAAAGACAACCACATAATGACTTTGATGTAGAGTTCGGGCAAAGTTTTACCAAAGAAAATATGGAAAATTAACTTGTTAGCCAGCCCGGCAACCACACACATGCACACGGAAAATATATTGCCCAGTGTATGTGTGGGTGTGTGTGCGTGTTGGGGGCATGAGCAAACATTTAACTATACGCATTGTGCCGTATTCTCTTTTGGGACAAAGGCCACAAAAAGGTGGGCAAGTCAACTTGACAAAATGCATGACATGACAGGACAGAACATAAAATAAGAGCTGACAATGAACGAAGTGAAAAGAAACAAGCAAAATATTTGCGAAAATTTTAATTAAATTTTCCGACAATTTCCGACAATTTTTAAAGTGACGAGTCACACGTAAAGTTGCGTTCAGCAGAAGAATCATAATGCGACCCGAAAATTTTGATTGAGTCCGTCGCCAACACCTTTTCCAATTGAGCAGCTGGAAAATGAAAATGTGAATGTGAAAGAGTTGTGATTCGATATTCGAGAGTGGCTTTTGTGACTCAATTACAATAAGTCTATTAAACTTGTGTCTGCGGCTTGTCTAGACTACACGGGTCCCGCGCCGATCAGTCACAATGTCTGCAACTCGGGTCTAGGCCCGGCCCGGCCCGGCTCGCCTCGGTCCGGGGATGAAGAGCGTCGAGAGCGCGTGCCCCTTTTGACTTTCGACTGGTTCTTTGTGCCGTCTAACAACAGAGACGGGCTGCTGCTGATGAGGAGGAGAATGACGATGATGATGATGATGATGCGAAGGTGTTCCAGCTGCCGGCTAGGACTGTGTCTCGATTTCACTTTCGTTACGCCTGCGCCACATACATTCATACATATGTATTTCAGATGAAAACCTGGTCCTTGATCGTTTGGCTGCTTGCTCTTTTATTTATTTTTTGGTGGCTCATCGTGCCCAGGACGCGGCTGCGGTTTTGATTACGTATTTTTGGAGTACACAATGGACACCAGGACCAGCAAAAGGAGTAAACATTTTGAAGTAGCGCCGTTCGAAATGCTTTATAGGCTTGTCAGCGATCGAATTATGTGTGTCTATAGCTCCGCATCTCCGTATCTCCGTGTCTGTCTGGCTGTTTACGCGTTTTGTCAACATATCGAATTACGCCCCAGTCCCAGGACCTGGCCCATAATCGCTAATGACAATACAAATTGAGAGTGGAGAGCCTCTGCACATGCTCAGCGGCATTGTTGGTTTTCTGGGAAGGCTGAGCCCCTGACAGCCGGCGCAGCGTGCTTAAAATTTGTTAAACAATATATTTGTTTGGCATTTTAAGTGAATTCCGAACGCCGTTTTTGGTGTTTTATTTTATTTAACCTTTTTTTTTGGGGGGTTGTTTGCAGCCGCCACCTTTTGAATCAATCGATTGATATTCGTGGAAAGGCACTTTGGATTAAGCAATGAGAAGCTTTTTCCACAGAATTATAGGCGAAGATATTTAAATATTATTGCATTATTTATAAAATAAGCTTTACATGTTACTGAATTTCATAGGCACGGTTAAGCCCGGGAAGCTTTTATAAATAACTTGTCATTGTTTCTTGCTTTTTACGACTTGAGTCTCAAATAACATAAAGAGTCTCAAATAAAAAAATGAATCGCATGGTTGATAATTATTTTGATACATTTTTTGTATTTTCTTACGAATATAGCTTTTTGTTGGACACCACTTAAAGCCTTTAAATAAAACATAATTAAGATGTGTCCATAACAAATCTAAAATTGTAAATCCTTAAGCGTTGGAAATTGTTGAGTTTGCTAGCGCCACCCAGAAGAAACGCTTGAATATTTCAGAAGTAGATTTGTGAAAAATAAATAAATAAAATAATTAATCTGTATTGCTGGCGCCCAGGCCTTGATAGATAATCTGAGAATTGACAGCTTACATAGGATACTACAAAAACGCGTCTCTTAATTAAATATTTATACAAATGTAAACTGCCTTGATTAATGGTTATCCTGCGCGCGGCACTTGCTGCGGCTCCCAGACTCGGGGTACTCAAGTCAAACAACAGCACACAATAGCAACAAAAACAACAAAAACAATGACAACAAACATCAAAAGCAATTTACCCAACGCACAAGGCACAACGGGCAAAAGGACACTCCGGCAACTGCTTTTGCCCTTTCTTCTGCCCGGGCTGTGGTGAAAGTGTTCACATCAAACGGCTTTAAAATTAATTGTTTCGCCTGTTTTGTTTTTTTTCCACTTTTTAGTTGGGCCCGATAAACAATTTGATTCTTCGATAAGCAAATACAACTACACACAGTCGCACACACACACACACTCACAGTCATATGTGCGTCTGCCCCCCCAAAAACTCGCTCCATTTCTTTCGCCATTGTCTCGATGTCTGTCACAGGCCGCATCGCTGGCTACTCCACAACAGCTCTGTGTGTGTGTGGAGAGTATAGATATGTGACTGTGTGTGTGCGTGTGTGTGTGTAGGTTGTGTGTGGTCGCCGTTTGAGTGTCTTTTGTTGTTCGCTCGCTCTGATAGCGTCGCTTTTGTTTGAAGCCAGGCCCGGCGACAGACAGCAACAACAAGAACAACAACAAAGGCGACGGGAACAACAACACGATTGTGATTTTGGGGAACCCGGGACCCAATCATAATTATGCACGTTGTTTGTTGTTGTTTGGGTTCTTGTTAATAATGGCGTTAATGCTTATGGTGATGAGAACAACATGGACCACCCTCGCTATGTGTTTAATATTGGGCCCTAAATCACAGCGATATTTATGGTAACTGGATTGACTAAGCGTTACATTCTGGCAGGTATATTAAATGGGGAAGGCGCATTTTTAGGGTTTCAGATAAAGACACATTCTGCAATTAATTGTGATCATGGACTTCATACAGTCCCAAGACTTAAAACGTACATATATAGATACAAACATACTCAAATAAAGTTTATTAGATTGCGACACAACTTTAATTTATGAGAATCGCATAGAAGTGTGTTATTTCAAAATAATTTGTTTTTCATTTGAAGCAAACGAGAGAGCGTAGCAATATATGTTACATATAAACTCACTCATATAATCACAGCAAAAAAATATACCAAAGCTTTTACAGGCATTGTTTTCAAAATATTCAAAATTTTCAGGCATACATATTTACTTACATACAAGCACACAAACGTCTATACATATGCATATACTATAATCTATTATAACATCACGTAAATACGTAAAAATGGTTTAAACTATAAACAATAAACCAAAGTCGATCTTATCGGCTAATATTTTTAAGGCTGAAGCACTACGTTAACTCATTTCATTGCCATCAAAGTTTTAGATGCTGATAAGCTGCAGTTCCAAGTATTTGACGTGTGAAATAAATTCAAGTCCGATCGAGATAAGTGAGTTTGGGGGGCTAATTTAAAATTAGAGAGTGCCGAATTCAAAGTTATTTAGCTAAGATAATTGAAATACACAATAGTTCAATGTAAATCAATCAAAAATGACGATGTAACCAATTTAGTGGGTTTTGCACCCACTCAAAACTGTTTAGCTGATAATCTCCGCACCCATGAGGAAACCCATAAAAAGCGCAATCATCGACGGCACCACAAAACTCGTCCAAATAGCCCAATAATTACAGGCGTGTTAAGTGCCCCCCGCGTCCGATCGAAATCGTTTGCACTCTTCTCCGCCTCAAAACTGTGCAAATATTTGTGTGCAGTTTTTCAAAAGCGACTCCTGTCAATGTTGCTGCTGTTCTCGTTGTTGTTGTTGCTGTTGTTGTTGCCAAATGTGATTATTAATGTGCTTTGAATAGTGGAAATGGCAGCAACACCCCACAGCAACCGAGCAACCGAGCACCCGCTCACCCTCAACCCAACCCAACCCAATCCCAAGAAGTACTCTCTAACGTATGCTAGTTGTCAGAGAGAGGGTGTGACAATCCGTAGAGCCCAACTAATGAGTGTAAACAACGGCCTGGCAAAAATTACAAATCCAAAAAAAAAAAATCAACTGCCACAAACTGTTTGATTTGTCGCTTAGGACTAATGAAACCAAACATTAGAGCGAGCACCCTCAATATGCTTCTGGTTCTGGTTCCGTTCTGGTCTCAAGTTCCGGGGGTTGCCTGCGTCCGTGCCCGGTCCCGGCCCCGTTGCCGTTTTCTCTCTCTAAAGTGTTGCAATTTTCCCCCGCCCGGGCACAAAAGGGATGTTGGCAGCGCCGTCGCATGGATAGACAGACGGACGAATGGACGGACGGACTGGCTGACTGGTAGATAGACCAGGCCGATGTGTTGTAAGTTGATTACGTGGTTGACGTTGACGTTGCTGCTGCTGTTGCTGCTATTGCTGTTGTTGTTGTTGTTGTTGTTGCTGCTGCTGTTGAGCAGAGTTGCAATATGAGGGCTTATGTTGCTGCCGTGGAATCGGCAGCTGTC